TTTGTCCTGGTTGGGAATCGAACCCACAACCTCTGGCTTAGCAGTCACGGTCACTAACCACTAGGTCAACGGGCTAGTCGAGTGTGAGTGTTTCTACACAACAATTATCCACAACGAAGTATAAATTATGTAAGATATACACAAAAGGACATAAAATGTTCAATCGCGAAAACACGCAAAAATGGCTGAACGGATTTGGATGAAATTTGTCACAGAGATAGACTCTTTAATGGGCTCTTTTTATCAAAAAAATGTGGAATGAGTAAGGTACAACAACAACTGCGGGTAACACCGCGGGACGCAGCTAGTCTATACAAATAAATAAAGTTGAAGTGTCTGTTTGTAATGTCAAAATAATAAGGTTTTTTTATGCTCACACGGTTATTTGCACGATACCTATGCCTAAAAACCAGTTTAATTTTTTTTGGTCTGTCTGTCTGTTCCGGGTGATCTTCTAAACGGCTGGACCTATTTTGATAATATGTTGTCACAGAGATAGATTAGACCAGGTAGTTGTCTATGTCTAGAGTAACTTAGGCTATGTGAGGAAATCACAGAAAACCCTTTAAATTTTTGCCCGGTCCGGGAATCGAACCCACTAAGGCAGCACTTTTCAAATTCCACGCGAACGAAGTCCCGGGTACCAGCTAGTTATTAATAATATGATTTTAATATAATTATTAATAATAAAATAAATCTAACATTTAGCAAGCGTTTAATCAAACCAAATATAAAATAATTTTGCATTCAAATCTTTAATTAACAAAAAAATACACTTTATTAAAAAAAAACTCTAATTTGACACGCAAGTTAATAATTACAGTTATATAGAAACCTACAAATGTCAAATTATATTTTTAAAGTTATCGTAACCTATCGTCCCCACCAAGAAACTCCTGCGCACACAAACCGGATATAAGACAGACCACCCACAGCCATCGTTAATTAAGTCATTCAATGTTAGTAGCTTGTTTATCTTTATCTTTTTATATCTTTCTTTCTTTTTATTTTGTAATCTTTTTATACCGACGCGAGGCTCACTGTATACGTGGTTTTGGAGAATGACAGTCTAAATATGGACGCAATAATGGCCGATGTTATTTGTTATTGAAATCTAATTTTAGGTTAGCTTAGACTTTGGTTCCAATGTCTTAATAACAGCTATTCCCAGAGCCCTCCTATTTTAAAGCCCAGAGTGTAGTCGGTTTGATTCCGACACACCACCAAATCACAAACGCCGAAGGCTCGAGGGGGTAAAGGTTAGACTTTTTACAAGAAAATCGTGCCGTCATATAGTAGGGGGGATTCAGATATCATAATATCAAGTAACAACTGTTCTCGAATCCTGTCTAGCTTAAGCGCAGTAAAAAACACCTGTGGTTTTAGTCGATTCATAGTCCGACACACCGCTCCACTAAAACAACGGTATGCTGCGCGGTTTCCCCGCACACACACAAAACGAAATAGGTTTACACAATTGCGTTGTGAACCTTTGTGTACCTCCTCTTCTCCCTCAGAATTAGGGAGAGGGAGATTTGGTTCACCGGTAACCTTATTCACTCGCTGAAAAGCTACGAAAGAACTTATCCTGGTGTACTTCATGTGTCCGTATGGTGACGGATTAAGAATACAGACTGTCACCACCCCTATTCATCCCGTGGGTGTCGTAAGAACCGACTAAGGGAGCCAACTACTCAGGACAACAGCACTTCATAGAGAAGGAAAACTTGAAACAAACCCTATACCAACCCGTCTGGCCAGCGTGATATAGTAGGCCAAAACTTCCCTTCTAAGGAGAGGCCTATGTCCAACAGTGGACTATTGAAGGCTGTTGATGTGATGTGACTTCATGTGTCTGATAGTTCGTCAGTCCATAGGTCGCTGTTTCATCTCCTCTCATTTGTGATCTGCACAGTGTGCAGTTCGTTTATATATAACAAGATGTATTCGTTTAAAGGATTCCATTTAAGTTTTATCTCTTTTAATTAAATAGCAAAATGGCGTAAAATATTTGCCACGCCTATACGCTGCTCGATGCTCACACATAATTATATGTTGACACATGTCACATACTTACTGCCGTCTGATCCCAAACTAGGTAGAGCCTGTACTATGGGAACCAGACTGCTGATAAACATACTTATATATTACTAAATACATATATTATTATCGTGATGATTTGCTCATCACACAAATTTTTTTTTAATATTGACAACACCCGCATTAGGAATATATCCTGCGTCGCCGGGGCACTTTACAAACATACATGAAACGGGCACAAAGAACACCCAGACTCAGAACAACAATTTGTGGTGCACACAAAGTGTCGTCCCATGTAGGGTTTGAACCCACAACGCTCGGCGCTGTAGGCGACCTGGCGACCGCTTAAACCTAGTGGTTTAAGCGGTCTGTGCAGTACAATTATTTGTTCAGTATGTGAGTACATGGGTGTATAGTCCTGGGTTTGATTTAAATCAGACAAGTTGTGTTTGGGTTCTGCTAAGAGTATAAGTCAGCCCCCTCTGCTCAGCGTTCCCGTAACGCGAACAAATTTACTTCGATATGCTCCTATATCACGCGCCATAAGGCTTATTAATATTATTTCAATACAAGTAGATCTACAACTGTAGCCTGCCGAACTTCAAAGAAGTCGCCCAGAGATGTATTACAGCAAATGATTTTTATATATATAATAGTTACTTACTGTTTTTACTTACAGTATCGTTTTAGGATAAATCCTGTAAAGACACTGTAATTGTTTTTAATAAATAAATAAATAACTGTAATAGTTTATCCTCGCAGGTTCATACATTATGGCTGAAGTTCCTTTGGTGATGCAAAGACTTGAGCTCAAATAGTCATTTCTTTAAAACCTTTACAAATCCTTCTTCTTCTCTCTGCTCTTCTTTATCAACTTTTAACCACTGAACTACGACTATAATAAATTATTTTGTAGTTCTTAGAAAGTTAAACTTAAATATACGCACGAATTTTTATTTTTAATCCTATACAACAATATAAGTAAATATTTTGACAATGGTAACCTGTGACGTCACATGTCGTTTTTTATGTAAGTGTTCTACAATACGTATAATTTTGACGTTTAAACATAATTTGATTCGGCAGACGGCAATAGGGGAGATTACTAAGTTTAAACTAAAATATTTTGCCAGAATCACTGAATGTAATGTCCTCCGTTATCCATCCATTAGTTATTATATCTTCAAATCAACATTTTATTTAAACTATTTGACAATAACTAGGTATGACGTCATGACTTAGTATTTCATACAAAAATGTACCGTAGCTATCGTTTTGACGTTTAATTTAAAACTAAACTGATTTGACTTAACAGTCAATCTACGTTCGTGAATTACTTTGACGTTTCTTTAAAATATGTGTTTTTTTGAATGTGTAATTTAATTGTTATTAATATTTATTGTGTAATTAATTATGTTTTCTCTTTTTGTTTTAGGAAGAAGTAAGTACGGGACCCGCTCACGGCAACCACGTGAGATAATACCATTTATTTTTACATCCCACTTATAAATACCAAATACCATACCATTTACATTTTATTTATAAATATATACCTATTCCATTTATTTATTATTGGATGTTTTTATTATATGTTTTAATTAACTTTTTAATATTTGTTTATTTTAAATGTGAAAGGTTTATACACTATTGCAATATACGATTTGATTAACGATTCTAATCGCTTGTGGAATGCATCAGTGTTGCATGTTTAAATAAATATATATTTATCTATTTAAAATCAGGCATAAAAAATAACTTAGGGACATGAAATTTGGAAGGCTTAAAGTTTATACATAGAAAAAGCATAACTGACAAATATAAACATGTAGATTGAGCTAGTGGAGTCTCAGTACCACTTACCCATCCGAGACGTGAAGGATCCCTTGCCTAGCTCTCTCGCCCTATCCATAATTCTTACCCTCATTGACGTTCTTCCTTAGGTCTATTTGAAAGGATAGTGCCAGTTAGGCGCGGCGTCGATTCAGGAGGAGGGATGAGTTGGCGAAATCACACTGTCCGGAACCTCTCCGGAGTAGGGCCTGACGCTGGCCAATACTCATTATTTGCTCATTTAATCTCTAAAGTGCCCAGTTGACGTTTAATTTGATGGCGTAGTGGTTTAACCGGTCGCCGGTTGTGGGTTCAAACCCCACATGGGACGACACTTTGTGGGCTCAACAAATTGTTGTTCTGAGTCTGGGTGTTCTTTGTGTCCGTTTCATGTATGTTTGTAAAGTCCCCCGCGACACAGGATATATTCCTAATGCGGGAGTTGTCTTTATTTTAAAAGAAAAAGAAGAATTTAGTTGGCAAAATCTCCAAGCCCTTTCCCAAACTAGATTGTGGTAGGTTATCAATCTACTCCGATACGGCTGAACTTCAATTTCCACGTGCAGCGATTGCCATCAGACCTCCACAACAAGTACTAGGCTGTTGGATTGCACCTACCAACTATTACTTTTTCCAAAATTTAGACAACTTTTTAGTGGGTAAAAAATTCAATTCCCGAGAGGCAATACAAAATGCCTTTGAAGAGTTTGTTGCCTCCCGTCCAGCTGATTTTTACAAGAAGGGCATCAATTAACTGCCAATGCGTTGGCAAAGATGCGTCGATTGCATGGGTGATTACTTCGAATAACAGAAATAAAAAAGTTTGAAAAAATAAGTACTTTCACTTATTGCATACAAAACTGCAATTTCATAGGTAAAGACCTAATATTTTACCACATTCACACAGCGCCAACTAGTCCCAAAAATACAATTATACTTTTTTTGTAAATACATACATATTATGCATAAAAACACCCAGACCAAATCAAACATTAAATGTTCGTGCATACAAATGTTTGACTTGAACGGGAATCGAACCCGCGGCCTTTGGAATAGCAGTCCGTTACACAAACCACTACGCCATCCGGTGAAATAATAATATATTTTTATAATGTATTAGTTGGCAAAACATGGGTGCTCAATACTCCTCTCTCTACTTCTTCTTCTCGTTGGATATAGGCGTGAGTATATATAATCTTTTTACAACGTGTCAACGATTTCTCTAAAAAAAATCTAATCAATTTCTCACCAACTTTCTATCGATGGATGGCATTGAAACGGTCAAGCGTAGGTTGCATAATCTATTGCCAAACCATAGTAAAGAAACCGTTTATAAATCTTAAGCATAGACAACATTTAAAAAAAAAATAGTTTTCAGAGAAAAGTCACCACCAACAGTTGGTAATAACAGCTTCCTAACAGGTTTTAAGAACTCCACTAGTTATTGTCAAATTAAAATATTTTAATTGTAAGACATTACAGACAGACAGACATTGATAGGGTAGTTCTGAAAAGGAACCCTTTTAGTGTCGCTGTGTCTATCTGTTAGTCCATCCGTTTGCCGGGATAACTTAGCTTAGAAACTTTAAGTACTAGAAAGATGTTATTTTGCATGAAAATATTAAAGACGCCAAGAAAGTAAATAAAAAAAAAAAAAAAAAAATATTAGAGTACTTGCGGTCGCTGAAAGACCTCATCGTTTAGTATAAGAAAGCCACACCTTAACGAAATTCTGCCCCCCTCTATAATTTGTTTAGGTATGGCTCTCCTATCGATCTATCGTCGGACTCAAAGACCCACAAAGCATTTCTGACACTCACAGTCACTTACCATCATATATCCCGTCTGATGCCCCTTTTCATCATCACCAGCCTTTAACAGTTCACTGCTAGACAGAGGCCTCTCCTCAGAAAGTAGGTTTTATATATAAAACGCTGGCCAGACGGATTGGCATAGGGTTTGTTTCAGGTTTTCCTTCTCTTTGCAGTGCGATAAAAAATTCAAGATTACAAGCCAAGGGACCTTAAACCGATTGTCAGTGTGTTTGTTAGTTCTAAAAATCTTTAATGTACTTCCAATAACAATTTCATTTATTCTATAAAAACTTTTCAATAAAAACCAAGTCGTAATCAGTTCTTGAAAGATTTTGTCGATTTCGCTGTGACGCATATCACTGCCACCTGCTACCAGATGGCAGTGATATGGGTCACAGCGAAGCGTGGTAGGGCACAGCTAATTAATTATATTAATACTACTAATATGCATGTATCAAAATATTAACCCACATAACCTATTGGTAGCGTTCCCAGAAAGCTGGCGGCATAGCCACGTTAAATGCCCATTGTGATGGTGACCAGGAGAATTTTTGTTTCACAAATTTGGGTTTTGAGGAAAAGGAATTCATTTTTATGTCTGATATATATTTCAATTTCACCTAGAATAAATATTGTGCGTTAAGCATGATCATTTGTCCTATGTCTTATATCTATAATATATATAAAATATTTGTTCCGTAATCGTACATACATCATTAATGCATTGCAAAAGAAAACATACACTTACCTGTGGCATGATATTCCTTTGTCTTTATTTACCTTTTTGTCGTAATTTGTGCACTATCGGAATACACAGAAAGGCATTTTATGAATTTTCTCGAATTAATTAGTACGTGCGCTCGCTTGCAGTGGTCCTAATTAGGACCAATTCACAGCACGTGTTTTGTGCGTTTTTTGCGTCTCTACCTCTTGTATATAACTCTCTATATATAATATCATTGCTTAGTCCCTATTTTGTAAGTGGGACTAAAAATAATGGTCGGCAAAATGTGGACGCTTAAAGCGCCTCTGTTTACCCCTTGGGGGACAAAGACGCAAGTGTATGTATATATATACATACATTGCAATATATATTTACTAAAATGTGTTTGCTTTAAAATAACCAGCAGGGTGAATGAATATCTATTTTCCAGGCCATCATCATCAGCTGCCCGTCAGGCGGTCGGTGAAATATTTTGACCAATTTTACTTAAGTGATATTCGATGCCCGTTTGGGCATGAAATTGAATTGGTTAAGATATTGCATCGTCCGCTTGAATCGGGGATATCGACGAGGGATTATACGCCGAACGCTCCTTGCTACCTTTTGTTTGTGCTCTTTGTATTTTTGTTTGTAATATTTTGTCTCTTTGTTTGTGCATATTTGTGTTTTGTTTGTGCATATTTGTGATTTTGTTTTATGACTGCTTTTGTTCTTTCTTAAATGTGTGTTATTGTTGTTGTTTGTTTACTAATGTGATTATATCGCAATTTTATTTATTATATATTTATTATACGAATTACTAATAAAATATTGGTTTACCTAAGCTATACATATAACGATAATTGTCTGTTCAAATATTTACTAGAAGTTTTATTAGAAATTATTCAAAATATTTGAAAATTTCAAATAATAATATTTTATGAAATATTACTATAAATAGTACTTGTGCAAAAAGTTATAAATAAACTTGTTGTATTAAAAAATTAAATGTGCTAAAATTTGTTAGAGTCGCTTATACCAACAATCTGAGCTGTTGGCTTAAAAATCTAAAAAACAAGAAATCAGAATGATAATATATTATTATAATAAATTTAGAAGGAATGTTACCTTTCCTTCTAAATTTATTTATAATTATTTAGTTAAAACACTGTAAATTTAAGAGCAGTAGTGGTCCAACTTAGAAAATGCACCTCGAGAATATTTTTCACCCAAAAAACAATATATTCTCTGAAAAAATATCTTAAATGAAGTTGTTACTTCTATAATACTAGTAATAATAAACTACAGTACCATGCATTTCACTTGAACCGACTCGCGCTTAGCTAATTTTTATTACTTATAGTTTCTTTAACATCAGTCTGCTCTGAACATAACCTTGATACGCCATTAACTGTATTTAACGCATACCCTTAATATTCTAACACTTTATCTTATTTGAAAAGTCTAATAACATACACCCCTCCCATTCTCCCCTAAACATCATCACACTTTCTGTAAGACCTTGACTCAGAACCACTATCTCTATTGTTCTGGGGATACAAACTTCTAACCGAACAGTGCAGTTACGAACGCCTAAAAAATTGTGTTTTGGAATAGTATTCATGAAATTGCTAGAACTGATGAACCATCATTCTCCAACTGGTATGTTTCTGACCAGGTCCACGTACGCGAAGACCGAAGAAACCTCCCGGAGACACCACCAATGATGAGAAAAGACCTCGGACTGCGTTCTCTGGACCACAGCTTGCAAGATTAAAGGTAAAACATAATATAACAAAATATTTAAAACAATTCAACTGAGAAACCCCATGGTGATGGATTAAGAATACCGAAGTGTTACCACTCCTATTCATCTAAGAGCCGACTAAGGGGGCAAACTACGCAGGACAACAGTTACAGCACTGCAAAGAGAAGGAAAACTTGACACAAACTCTATACCAAGCCGCCTGGCCAGCGTGGTATAGTACCCCAAAACCTCCTTTCTAAGGAGAGCCCTATATAATAAAGGCTGTTGATGATGATGATGATGTATTTGTGCTGATGATGTATTCTAAATAAAAAAATCAAAAAGTTGGGCATACCACGCAAGTCATATTCCAGGTATTTCAACCAACTATTCGTCCATCCTCTTTTATGTCTATCAAGTTCTTACATTACTTTTCTTCCACAGCACGAGTTTGCCGAGAATCGCTACCTGACAGAACGCCGGCGCCAAGCCCTGGCTGCAGAACTAGGGCTAGCAGAAGCACAAATCAAAATTTGGTTCCAGAACAAACGCGCGAAAATCAAAAAAGCATCGGGACAGCGGAACCCACTCGCGTTACAGCTCATGGCCCAAGGGTTGTATAACCACAGTACAGTACCGCTTACGAAAGAAGAAGAAGAGTTAGAGATGAAGGCAAGAGAAAGAGAACAGCAGTTGAATAGAGTTTAGAGTGTATATTAAGTTTTGATGGTTTTGTCATAAGATGTGTGACATGTTTTTGACTGCGCTAAAGTTTATGTCACAGTGTTTTTAGCGACATCGATTAAATATTAAATGCAATATCTGGAGTTACTGACTCGAATCCTGATCAGTGTAAATACACATACACATGAATATAATTACGTATTCTTTAGTCGATTCTATTACTTCAATCACAAAATCGATTGTTATCGTTTAAAAAATAATGAAAATTTAACAACACAAAAATAACTCTAAAAATTAAATTAGACCATATTACAAAGAATTTAAATTATTATCCTTTGACTTGTGGTGCTGTTAAACACCAACACTGAGTTTGTTCCATGGACAAGCTTCGTTTATTTTAGAAATGATTAAATTTTTTTTAAGATCGCATTATTTTATGTCTGACGCAAATTTTATTCTCAAAAGCTTAATAAATTTAAAAAACAACATGATCTTATCTGATTTGTGTTTTAAAACAATCGCAGGCAGCAAGATTTTAATGAAAAACAAAACATTATTTTTTATTTTAATGGTCCGTTCGTAGAAGTGACGTATCAGGAGTTACGATTACCAGAAGTCTGTCAAAATTTCGAAATGATTTAAAAAATGTAATCGGAATAATTAATTTTATTTTTGTAATATTTTTTCAACATTTAATCATGTTTCTATTTCCAGTCTAAAGGCAAAGATTGGCGATTCAGTCTATGACAAAACCACCAAAACGTACTAATTACTATAAAAGTACATCATTAGTAGTTATGTGACATATATAACAGTTTGAAAATAACACGAACTCAATATGGAACCATGTTTGTAGTAATTTCTTACGATATCCTTTCGTTAGTGTTATTTTTGTGAAGTACTGTTATAATTGTTATAACGATGTTATTAACGTTAAACGTTAATGCTATTTATATATCAGTGTTGCTACTAAATTACACATAATTACTGCACAACCAATCTGTTTAACAAATTGTCGACTGCAGTACTTCCTTACTCCAATCTCAAAAGCCGGCAATGCTCTTGTCGCTGGGCAGCAGTTATTATTTACCACCAGGTCAGAAACCGTCTGCTCGCTTGCTCCCATTTGGTTTTTGGAGTTTAGTCGTTAAGAACAATTCGGCTGCACACAAGCATACAAGTTATACACACACATGTGAACGGTGTGCACGATAGGTTGCGCACAAAACCGTGACGAGGTCATTCGATCACTAAATTTTACTCTTCATATTTTTTTTCATACCGGCGACTTATATGAAAATTGATTCTTAAGGATTAAACTCCAAAAAAACTTGTAACACTTAGCGTTGTTATAACAGTTATCAATATTTCGCGAAATAACAGCTTCGTGCTATTATCTGGTCATATCGACATTTACCATAGCATTTTATTGACTAATATTTAACTGCATTTCCTAAAAATAATCCGTGTGTTTGAAAAAAATTAAATGAATCACAAAAACAATTAACATTACAATTTTGTATAAAAATGGTAGTCGATTTTTGTCCCACTCGAATTGTGTAAAATAAAAAATGTGTAAATAAAATTTAATTGTAAGGTTTAAATAACAAATTATTATTAAGTTATTTATTGTGCAATGTAGCAGTATTAGTCGTTTTTGTATTTTGACAACATTTTGAAAATGGAACACCTGTGACATAATAGACAATAGTTTTTTTCTTCGTTCTTCAAACAAGTTTCTTTTATAATTTTTTTGTACCTATTTCAAATTATTTTGTGTTTTATTTTATATCGATATAAAGAAATAAAAAATATAACATATATCCTCCCTTAAACAGCCTAGCAACTTCTTGATGTAGCACTTTAGTAATAGTTACTAAACTTAAATCAAATTTTAATCATTGCAACACACAGAACGAAATCTCGCAACACCGTTTTGAGCATTTTATGCTTGAAATACAGACTATTAGATGATAACTTTGATAAATAAGCAGTTATGTAAACGAAATGGGCTGACAATCAGTTTTCTTTAGCTTCATGTATGAAGGCTAAATAGCAATAACACTGTATATCCAATGGATTTAAATAAAACTATCAATTAGTGGCGTCAGTAGAAGTTTTAAATCTTTACTAATATTATAAACCTGAAGAGTTTGTTTGTTTGTTTGAACGCGCTAATCTCAGGAACTACTGGTTCGATTTGAAAAAATATTTTAATGTTAAATAGCCCCTTTGTCAAGGAAGGTTATAGGCTATATATCATCACGCTAATAGGAGCGGAGCACCAATGAAGAATGTTGTAAAAACTGGGACAATTTATTCCTTTTATAAAAGGCGCAGACGACGTTGCGTGAGTCATAATCAAATAAAATTTCATGTTAAGTTTACTGGAGGTGTGCTACCGTAATAGGCTCATAAGAATTAAAAAAAATATATAAACAGAATCTTGTTTTTTACCTTCCATAATCAAAAGATTATTACTTTTACTAGTTCCTATAAGCAAATGGCTACGCACCATTGATATACTTCAAACAAGCGAAACTTATATACTTATTGTAATAAACCATGGTAAAAACGATTGTTTTTTGTACAATTCTTTTTATTATACATATTATTATGTAAATTTGTTCAGTTCCTCAAAGTGTTGTCAACTTAAAAATTGAGAAAGTAGTGATTTATAGACAAATCTAATTAAAAGAAGTTAAATGAAACTTTTACGTGTTTCTTTTATTCTAATTAATAATCTTATTATCAACCCCCAATATAGAAAAACCCCGTTAAATAATAGGGTGAAACAGAAAATAGACGAGTGAAACTGTGTGTACCTGTGTCGAGCTATAAACACCGATTTCCAAATGTTTGTAGTTATTTTATATGGGACTAATCAAATCCACACGCCACCACTGTAACTCCTGTACTCCAGGATCCTCAGCAGTGACCCACGAACACACCGCCGAGTTATGACACTCGGGAAGTCCCAGGAAGAAATTAAACTGCCTTGGAACCCGCAACGAAATTAATCAGAAGAAAATTGGAGGAGTTGGAAATACAGTAAATCCACTTCCCTCCTTAGCAAAGTGGGAGACAAAATGAAGTAAAATGGGCATACACCCTTTTAAACAGGGAAGCACCACGGCCACAAAATATTACGGGTCCTACGTGAGCTATATTTGATTTCTATAATATGTATGGCAGAATCGCCTAAACGTACGGCAATTCACCCTAGTTGACACAAGATCCCCATAGTATACGTTATGTATATGTTTGTAGTTTGTGAGAAGAAAAAATCTCTGCTTAATAATATTTAATGATTTTGAATTTATTGGTCCCTCTGTAAGGCAAAGGTATCTTGACTTATCCCTTTGGAGCTGAAGATGTCCAGTCTGAAGTTAGTAACATTTAATTGCTAAGACACCACAATGAAAATTGGCTAATGGCTTCAATAAAATTATACCTAAAACCCAATAATTTTCATCATTTGTTTAAAATTTTTTTTACATTCACACAATGCCATCTAGTCCTAAACTAAGCGGAGCTTATACAATAGGTACTAGACAACTGATAAATATACATATTTACTTTATTTACTTAAACTTAAATACATACATATTATACGAGTACATAGAAACACCCAGACCAAATCAAACATTAAAAGTTCATGCACACAAATGTTTGACTTGAGCGGGAACCCGTGACCTTTGGAATAACAGTCCATTACACAAACCACTACACAATCTGGTCGTCAGTGTCAATTATTGAGTGATATTCGTATTTAATATGAAAAGTTTATAAAACATAAACACAAAAGATAATTATAGAAGCAGAAGGCCTACTCTTGAAAAAGATGTAAGAAAAGACACACATCCTAGACTTAGGAACGTTTAGGATAATAAGATATCAAATCTTTTATACAAGCGAAGACGAGGGCCGCCAAAATTTAAGAGTTTATAATTCTTCGTGACGAAATGCGCCTTTCTTGCTGTAGCCTCGAAAATGCGTAAGTATACAAAATTTCATAATTGGTTCTGCAATTAAGAGGTTAAGCCGTACAAAACAAATAGACAAACGTAATTAATTTTTGAAAAAGCACAACCTACATTGTTTAAAGTTCTGAAAATCTCATTACTCATTAGTTATCTAAGTGTCAATGAACTAATTAGAAAAGCAGAATTGACTTTTTTTTTGTTCTACACACACTAAAAACCACCCCGACAGCCGGTCTCAGGCGCCCTGCTCTGGGGAAGACCCGGACCGTGTTATTTCAGACCCATCAGATCGACGCCGCGCCTAGCCAAGCCCTATCCCGGAAAGCAGGCTTCGTTGAGGTCCGATCGCATCTTGCGATATCGCCTACCGCAGCAATTAATCTGCCACCAGAGGTCCCCACTCTCTGGCAGCCTGCGGCCCCGTCGTCCACTGATACCGCCGCCATCGTCCTCTACGTTCGGGATCGGCCCTCTCCCAAGCAGAATTGACTAAGACAGAGAAGCGATTATGGTAGTTGACCTTCTTCTTCAGGCAGTCAAGAGTCCATTTTATCAAGTGTATAAATAAACAACACACGTTAAAGACTAACCAGAAATACTAAACAAATCAACAGCCTATACTCCACAGCTGAACATAGGTCTCTCCTTAGAAAGGAGCTTTTGGCCTACTATATAACGCTGCGTTGGTATATGGTTTGTTTCAAGTTCTCTTTCTCTTTGCAGTGCTGTTGTCCTGCGTAGTTTTTTCCCTTAGTCGGCTCTTACGACACCCACGGGATGAATATGGGTGGTGACACTCAGTATTCTTATTCCGTCACTAAACGGAATAATGTATTCTGTTATATGAATTTGTTATACATCTACAAAAACATACAACGCCATCTAACGAAAACATACTGAACGACGTGGTAACTGTTATTCCTGCATCACGTTATGAAAGTTCTCACGCTTTAAGTTTATTAGTCTTCACACTTTGTAAGTATAGTATTATAGACAACTACCCAACATCATTCGTTGAGTCTTGGGGTACACGCAGGT